GTGCTTAAGGGGTGGGCAGGAGGGGGAATACAGGAGGCTGGTGGATGAGTTTGTGGAGTGGTCTGGACAGAATCAGTTGCTGCTTAACCTGGACAAGACCAAAGAGATGGTAATTGACTTCAGGAAGAAGGGAACTGCTCCACAGCCCCTCTCCATTTTGGGGAGGGATGTGGAGATGGTGCAGGAGTACAAATACTTGGGTGTGACTATCGACAACTGTCTGAACTAGAAGACAAACAGCACATCTGTGTATAAGAAGGCCCGCAGTAGACTATTTTTTAAGGAAGCTGAGGTCCTTCAATGTGTGCAGTAAGATGCTGGAGATGTTCTATCAGTCTGTCGTTGCTAGTGCCTTGTACTCCTCAGTGGTTTGCTGGGGGAGTAGTATTGCAGCCAGGGACTCCGATAGATTCAATAGGCTAATTAGGAGGGCTGGCTCTGTCATTGGCTGTGAACAAGAATCATTTGAGGCAGTGATGGAGAGGAAGACGCTAAACAAGCTGTTATCAATTATGGATAACCCTGACCATCCTCTCCGATTTGTGCTTGATAGACAGCGGAGCTCCTTCTCTAAAAGATTTAGACAGCTTCGTTGCTGTAAAGCACGTTATAGGAAATCTTTCCTGCCTTATTCCATTAGTTTGTACAATACATCATCTTGGAGCATTAGACGATTCCTGGATTGATAGTAACTGTATACTGAATCAGCTTTTGTATAGATTTGCATATGCTTGATTCATCAAGTCATTATGTACGTGTACGTGATTGTGTTGGGTTTGTTTTTAACTTTTAATGTATTTTTATTTGTTTTATATTTTAGTGGGTTATTTATTCTATTTGTTGGTTTGTGTGCTTGATATTGAGTGTGAACCGCTGCTGAAACAATGCAATTTCCCAGATTGGGATTAATAAAGTATTTCTATCTATCTATCTATAATTCAAAGTGACAAAGAAAGTAATCCAAAATCTCTGTTTTTGTCACAAACTAGCGTACAATTCATTCCGGACCAAACTTCTTGGATTGAAAACCATTATTTCCTACCTGTTTGAATTAAATGTACAGTAAGTTTCACTCTCTTTTTTTATTGAGGCATGTTTTTACGCTGCCTTGATATAAAAAATCCTCTTGTAGGAAAAAGATCTGAACTGAACTGGTCCTCGTTTCCTTTCTTTTGTGAAGAAGCTTCACGCAAAGTTTCAAACCATTTTAGTTTTGTTCACACATAACTGAAAAATGGATTTGAGTTAGAGTTAGGGTACAACCCACAGAACAACCCATTATATGTTGGTGCTGATGAGGATCATCATCCAGATCCAGGAATTGTTTAAAGGATTCCTCACCAACGTTAGATAAGGTCAGTTTCAGTATTTTTGCTTCTAATTTCATACACAAGTCCTACAGTACTCTGACATAAACTGCGCAATTAACTTTCCCATAAGATCTACCATGCACCAAAGTCTGAACTGAATCCGAGTAAAATTCTGGATCTGCTATACGGAGTTCACGGAAAACTCACTACTGTGAGACAACAAATGATGCTACAGACGCTCAACTAACACCAAACTGTAGCTGAAACCAACGGATTTGACGTATCTTTAAAAGATGCCATCTAGATCCTGAAAATAACCACCACTGATGGCTGTCTGGTTTCAACCATCACTAAAACTACACTGAGCATGTAACTGATCTGGCAGCGGGTTCTCTCGGCACTCTGCTTCCCAGGTAGCTGGAGCGTGTCATTATCTGTACCTCATTAAATGATGTTAGGTTCAGCTTTTTGGCGATGAACTTCTTGAGGTGGAGGACTGTGGCCTGTGCTGAACAGCGAATCCACTTCCGTTTCAGACCCCGAAGCTTGCTGCTGTTGCACTCCAAGCAGATGCTGACCTATCAGACGAAACACAAGCAGAGCAGAAGGTGAACATCCTCCTGTGAAACGGTCTGCATCTAAATACAAGTTAGAGACACTAGTTCTCTGTTACAAACAATGCAGACTCCTTGCAGCAGTCTGCTGTGGTGCTCAGTGAAATGCATGGTGTAATTCGTACCAGGATAGGAATTAGTTTTTACTGTCGTGATACTACGCTATCGGTTGATTCTCCACTTATCAGTGATTCAACAGTTTGGCTTTCTGCTGTGGAACCTCAATTACAATCTCACACAAACAGTAGTGTGGCTGTAAAAACCCAAGGAAAAAAAAAAACAGCAGAAGAAGATTGAAATCCGTTTCTGAGCTCACAGCTGAACACAACAGAAACCAGTGTTCCCAGTCTTTCAAGAGGAGACAGTCTATTGTCAGAAAATGACCACAGTGGAACTTGTTTCACTAATTTATCACCTAACCAGACGGATTATGAAAGAACACTGTGGCAGTAGGTGGTTAATTCAGCCTGCCACTGCTCTTGATTCCCCTTTTGCTTTCACAGCACATCTCACTGCACCAGTATTGTCTGTTCGTCGCTTGCTTATTGGCTTCTTTCATGTGACCGAGTGTCACTGCCATTGGCCCGTGCATTTGTTTTTCTCCTGAGGCGACACAGTAGGAGGTTTTGGCAGTCGATGGCTGCAGGAGTCAGGATGCGTTACTGCCACGGAGCTTCTGCCCACACACATCAAAGCGCAGGAGAGGAGGACAGAAGCTTTGTATTTCTGTTTGTGGGTGTCCTCTCTCTCTTGAGACAGGAAGAGCTAACATTACCCTGGTTTCTTAAACTTGGAAATCATCTCTATTCTCAAACTCTGGCAGTGATTCAGTGCCTTTGTACAGTATAAGCAAAGAGAAACACCATAAGCTATCTGCTTTCTTGAAGCGCTAGCAATAAGGGAGGCTTATAATGCAAACTAAAAGCCATCGCTGCCTGAAATCAGTCTGGGAGGCATGTTCGTTATATTACAGTATATCGCCATTTTGGAGCCAAAGAGTCCTGGTACAGCAGATGTGACTTATGCAACAAGCAGCTGTATCAGGAAAATATCATATGTGGTCTGAGGGTCCAGCTGTGGGTAAAAGCAAAGCTTGAGTCTCTCGGCGAGTACCGACCGCTGATAAATCAGGCTTTGAGCATTTAAGGCTTGATTAACAATTTAGAGCAAAGCTGCCTTTTCCAAAATACTCTTTCAACCCCAAATAGCTGTAGTTTATTGAATTTAATCTGTTCTCACTCCACAAACAGCATATTAAACTTTGATACGAGCCTGAAGGTGACCCTGTGCTCAGACTTCATACCTCACCTGAAAATATTAACCTCTGAAAATTCACTGCTTCATGCTTCACTGATAATGTAGGTTTCTCTGATTAATTGTGGCTGTTGCAGTTCTTGCCGTTTTTCTTTGATGCGTCACTGCTTTCATTAGTTCTCTCTCTGGCGCTGCTTTACGCCCAAAGGTTCCACTCTGATGGGTCATCCAGAAGACAGTGGGGAAGTGTTCTGGAAACTACCCATGCGTGGCGGTTCGCCTGCCAGTTCCTACATCTGAGTGGCTTCTACATCTTCAGTGACACCAGAATGGGAACAATTTTGTCTCATGATTGCAGCTGCTCCCATCATATCTTCTGGAGCTTCTGATGATTTGCCATCATCAGCAGGGCTTTTGTCTCTGTCATACAAACTCTGTCATTTTCATCAGTCACCTTGTCTTCCTCTGCTCCCCCCCACCTCTCCAAGACATCTCACATGACAGCATTCGGCTCACACAGTCTGCTGTGTTACCCATTCTCTACACATTCTGCACTGTTCCTGAATATCCAGAGGCCAAGATCTTCAGCCTCGCTTGGGCAGCCTGCCTTCCCCACATGGCTGACTGAAGACAACTGGCTTGTTTTCACAATTTGCTGGTTGGCTTCTTTGTTTCTAAAAGCAAATGCTAAAATAGTACAAAGACCATTTTCCTAAACTCAAACAACATTGGGGTGCAGACAAGACACTTACAGTGGATATAAAAAGTCTACACACCCCTGTTAAAATGCCGGGTTTCTGTGATGTATAAATAACGAGACCAAGATAAATAATTCCAGAACTTTAGCCACCTTTAATGTGACCTATAACTTGTACAACTCAATTGAAAACAAACTGAAATCTTTTTTTCAGTGGGAAGTAAAAATAAAAAACTAAAATAATGTGGTTGCATTAGTGTGCACACCCTCTTACTGTGGGACTGTGACTGTTGTCAGAATTAAGCAGTCACATTCAAACTCATGTTAAATAGGAGTCAGTACACCTGCCATCAATTAAAGTGCCTCTGATTAACCCCATATAAAGTTCAGCTGTTCCAGTAGGCTATTCCTGACATTTTCATAGTTGCATCCTACAGCAAAAGCCATGGTCCGCAGAGAACTTCCAAAGCATCAGAGGGATCTCATTGTTAAAAGGTATCAGTCAGGAGAAGGGTACAAAAGAATTTCCAAGGCATTTGATATACCATGGAACACAGTGAAGTCAGTCATCATCAAGTGGAGAAAATATGGTGCAACAGTGACATTACCAAGAGCTGGACGTCCCTCCAAAATTGATGAAAAGACAAGGAGAAAACTGGTCAGGGAGGCTGCCAAGAGGCCTACAGCAACATTAAAGTAGCTGCAGGAATTCCTGGCAAGTACTGGTTGTGTAGTACATGTGACGACAATCTCCCGTATTCTTCATTTGTCTGGGCTATGGGGTAGAGTGGCAAGACGGAAGCCTTTTCTTACAAAGAAAAATATCCATGCCCGGTTACATTTTGCAAACACGCATTTGAAGTCTCCCAAAGGCATGTGGGAAAAGGTGTTATGGTCTGATGAAACCAAGGTTGAACTTTTTGGCCATAATTCCAAAAGGTATGTTTGGCGCAAAAACAACACTGCACATCACCAAAAGAACACCATACCCACAGTGAAGCATGGTGGTGGCAGCATCATGCTTTGGGGTTGTTTTTCTTCAGCTGGAACTGGGGGCTTAGTCAAGGTGGAGGGAATTATGAACAGTTCCACATACCAGTCAATATTGGCACAAAACCTTCAGGCTTCTGCTAGAAAGCTGAAGATGAAGAGGAACTTCATCTTTCAACACGACAATTACCCCAAGCATACATCCAAATCAACAAAGGAATGGCTTAACCAGAACAAGATAAAAGTCTTAGAATGGCCCAGTCAGAGCCCGGACTTGAATTCGATTGAACATCTGTGTGGTGATCTAAAGAGGGCTGTGCATAGGAGATGCCCTCGCAATCTGACAGATTTGGAGCGTTTTTGCAAAGAAGAGTGGGCAAATATTGCAGAGTCAAGATGTGCATTGCTGATAAACTCATACCCAAAAAGACTGAGTGCTGTAATAAAATCAAAAGGTGCTTCAACAAAATATTAGTTTAAGGGTGTGCACACTAATGCAACCACATTATTTTAGTTTTTTATTTTTACTTCCCACTGAAAAACAGATTTCAGTTTGTTTTCAATTGAGTTGTACAAGTTATAGGTCACATTAAAGGTGGCTAAAGTTCTGGAATAATTTATCTTGGTCTCGTTTTTTTTACATCACAGAAACCTGGCATTTTAACAGGGGTGTGTAGACTTTTTATATCCACTGTAGCTTCTGATAATGTCTGTCCAGCACAGTAACTCCACTCTCCGCATTATTAAAATCATTCTGCTGGGGAATGCTGCAGAATGCAAATTAAATCAAGACGAGCCTTTTTCCATTGAGAATACTGTATATTCTCTGAATGGCTGTGGTGTGGCACTGTGGTGTCTGTTACTTAGTAGATCTATACAAATCAAACAGCCAAAACAACAAAGACAAAAGAACCCAGTAATTGTAAAACAGCCTAGTAAATCACATGGGGGACACATTTATAAAGGCAATAATTGATGCGCAGGCTTTTAAGGCAATTGCACCAACAATTACCACCAACAGTATTTTTTATTCCTCCATGCTTTGGTACCTGACAGACTGCTTTGTAACCCATAATTGTTTTATCCAATTTGCTTTCTTCTAATCTTTTCTAAAAGACAAACAAATCTGCACTGCCTCTGAATATCCTTGGAAACTGGTTTATTACTAAAGGGTCCATTGACCTGTTTGACCTCACCTGTTTCAAATGGAATCATCATTTCATTGTTTTACCTCGTTAATGACCCTGAAATGCAACTGACCCAACTTGTTTTGGAATGTGTTGCAGGCATCAGAATTGAAATGAGTGTTCATTTGGAACATCCAATAATGTGCTGCTGTATTGTTTTTGATGTAATACAGGACACAGATGATTTACACATCACTACTTTCAGTTTTAATTTATACTTTACATACCATCCCAACTTCTTCTGATTTGGAGTTATAAAATACAGTAAGAACATTTTCTCAGTTACCTCTAGTGTCCATCAGTAAATGAAGGCTTACCTGCTCGTCGCTGCGGTGATAGTCGTTACCCTCTTCTGGTTTCTCCTCTCCCGCCTCCTTATTGGCCATGTCGTCTGGTTTTGCGTCACCTGTTTAGAAAACAACAAAAAAAAGCATCAGCATGTTTTTGCGGCAGTCAACCCAGTTTTTGAGCAGCGGGTTTCTCTCATCATGCTCATTAACTACAGTCAAGAGGCTTTAACTTAACTGACGTCCAGGGTGGCACTGCTGAACACAAGACATGTCAGACGCTGGGGAAACAGGCATGTTTGTCTCCCTGGTGTATATTAAAAGCCTGTGCCTGTTGGAGTGTAAAAATGCCTCCTACAGAGGACCATTTATAAGCCAATTACATGTCAGAGGGTGTCATAGCATCCTTTAAACATCTTATCTGCTGTCTGGGCACGTCTCTACTACTAGACAACTTCTAATCATGAAAAGGCCCCCAGTCATCCTCCCTGCAGATTACAATAGCTTACATTAGGGCCTACATCTGGTTTTGTCATTTGTGCCTCAGGAAAATGGAGGCTGGGGGTGGGGTGTCTCTGGGAAGTGAGCATGAAGTGAAAATAGGAAGAGAAAAATTTCTCATGTTCGGTATTGCTGCGGGTAATGTGTCCTGAGTGGTGCCAGAAAGGTGAGGTACTGTTTAATCATTCATCAGCTGCAGAAGTCCAAATGATACAACGCCCCTCGAGTCAACTTTAAAACAGTTCATGGAAAAGACTCCTAAGGCAAGATGAAGCTGAAGTTGTATGCATTTTAAAAATGTTACTTTACTACATTTGTTTTGCCATCTAAAAGATGAGACAGAGCAAAACTGTAAAGGGAAAAGGATGTCAAAATTCATATTAAAGCCCCGGTTACTTCCAACATCAGAGCCAGTGGTGTTGACAATTTTTGCAAGTCTCCAAAACTACAACTCAAAACTGTGTCCTCTTCATATGCAGTAGCAAGTGACTTGGAGTTGGACTTCCCTTTCAAGCTCATTCTTTACACAACTTTTTGTGTTTACACCCCATGATTCTCTTTGAGGCGAGACAAAAATCAATTGAGATTTGCTGAGGAGACACTTTCAGGTGTGGCCATTCAGAACAGGTGCAAACACATTTGCCTTTAGATGTGGGCAGAACACACCATACAAACTAGTCTGTTTGCAGCATACTAAATCCATGAGGATGGATTATAACACTGAAGAGAAAAGCAAGGATTCAGATCTGCAAAGCTGTAGTTTAGGTTTTAGTTGAGCATTCAACCTGAAATTTAACCAAGTGATTAATCAGGCAGAAAACAGTCCTCAGCTGCAGCTCAAAGTGATGCCAAGAGCCAACAGAACATAATGACCAACAAACCACATCTTTACATGCACTTAAATAATGTGGTTATTGTCAGCGTTGTGTAACATTTGTTGCATTACCTTGGGTGAACATTATATCCAGTAAGATCTGGTTTGTTTAACGCAGTAAGGCATGAAAAAGAAAACGAGGTCACACAGCTAGAACAGCAACCAAACTGAATAACAGCACAACAACAAAGAAAAATATTGTTGTATCTGACACATCGGTTATTCTGACCATTACTTTCTCTACAAAATAAATGTCAATTTATGTCTTTTTAGCTTGGCAACACTCGAGAAACCTTAGAAATCCAATGATAGACAACAAAATGCAGCGACTCTTTGTATTTTGGAAGCTGGAAGTAGGGAGTGTTTGACATTTCTGCTCCACTTATCGGTGGCTATGGTTTAATTTTCTGTTATAGATATGAAACGTCCAAGCCAAAATTGCAGCGCTGTGACAAAATTACTGCATGTACAGGTACTGCTTTTCTCTAAATGTTAAGGGCAAAGGAAGTCAGTCTCGTCCTCCTGGATTCAGTGGAGGTATTAAAGTGGTGTGTGGACCGTTGACTCCTGCTCAGACTGCAGATGGAATTGCATCCACCCCTCTGTGACCATTTTCCGTTTGGGCTAACTGTTACCAATTCCAGAGAGTATTACTAGGAAAGGTCTGAGCTTGCTCTGGCGGCTCTGCGGTGATTGTCTCCAGAGTTGGTTTCACTGATTGCTTATCAAGAGGGGGCTTGCTCTTGGGTGTTGTGTCTCACCTCCAAACAACACCAGAGTATCTCAGCAACTCAAAACAGACACGACGACACTGCTTGTGTTTGAGGTAGCAGCACTGGGAAATGGGATGACTGCCTGGGTCTAGGGATTGGAAAACTGAGCAGCCCGTTGCTGACAGAGTTTCTTTTTGTTTTACAATCTAGCGTGGGGGGAAAACAGTCTAACACATGACAGTTCCATGATTGTATGGGATCTCTCCCATACAATCAAATGACAAAGGCTTGTTCAATGACATTTTCAAGTGAGGCTACAGTGGCTATGAAATGGACTAAACCATTTATTTGTGCTAGGTTGTGGGAGCTTATATTGTCATGACAGAGCAAAGTGCACTCAGCAGACTCATTGTGGCCCCGCGCCCCTTTGTTTTCTTGTGTTAAGAGCTCAGGAATCCAGGCAATTTCGAGAAAATGAACCTGTTATGTGCTGGTGGAAAGCAAGTTTTTGTTTGTCAAGTGTGAAATAGGAGGAGAAAACTCAAGTGTATACATTTAAAAGCAAAGTGAATGGAGCTTAGATTGACAGTATGTGTTCGATCATGGGCTGAGTGATGGGCTTACCAACAGGAGATGTTTGCCCATTAACAGGTTAACCCAGTGCCAACAGTGGGTGAGTCAGACTGATCCCTTTAATGTCTCTGTATGATTTTGCTGTTAAATTCAAACCATTATACTATAGTTTAGGGTTTCCCTGCACACAGAGCTGACATGATTTTCAGGGAATTGAGACAATGCAATTATCAAACTCCTTCAGTTCCCTGTTGATGAAGATGCATTCAACCAAGACTGTTTTAGATCTTGGAAAGCAGGTGCTGGCAGTTCTGTGCACACAGGTTAATGTCAATACATTTTATGGACTTTACATTACAAATATTAATGTTAGGCCCACACTACAATATACTGTAATTACACTGTACATAAGATGATGGTGATGCGGCATACACATCTTTCAGTGTGTGTAACAGCGAGGGGCGGGCCAACCTTTGGACTGGCTTTGAGGAAGACCAAACTATTGACTCATTTTCTCAGCTGCACCCAGGTTTGACAGCAGTTTTCACAGCTCACAAAACTGTTACATACTGAGCGTACGTAAGAGAAGAAACGCCGGGTTTCCCACTTCAGTGAGGCCCTGGTAAACGAGCCTTCAAATGACATGCAGCCACATTTGATATTTTACAGTTTTTCTTGTATTCAAAGTCAAAGACTATTTTTATCAGTACCCACAGCTAGAGACATCATATGTGACTGCGGAAAATGACTGTGAAATGCAATTCTCGAGTCCCTGGCCTTCTACTTGAGTGGGCTTCAGTGCAAATAATCCCTAAAATGTGTTTGTGTATGAATATGTGTGTATGTTTGTGCATGTGTGTGTATGTACTGTGGCCAAACCCGACCTCGAGTGAAGCCGGAAGCTGGAGAGCAATTCCACTTCCATTTGATCCTTAATTACCAAAATCAGAAGAGGTGATTAAGCCTGCGATTAGGGTCTGCCGGCATGACAGCCCTCTGGGCACACATTCACACCAGCCCGCGGAAGCAAACTGGTTTGGAAAAGCCGTCCTACACCACAAGCAGGCCAGGGACTCATTATGATTGGCTAAATTACCTTTATCTCCACTGTTTAATGGCGCCTGCTGTTGCTTGTGGTCATACTACTAAAGTTACTCGTTATAGCTTGAGAGCTTTTTTCTTATAAACTGAACAGAGCAAGTCACTCACAGCCAGGGTGGTAAACGTTGTGGAAACCAGCTTTAGTCATTTTATTTTCAGATTAAGATGTAAAAATTGGCATTTCTTTCCACAGGCACCCTTTTAAATTGTGCACACAGACTGCAGGGTGACCACACTCCACCTCCTCAAAAACGTAAATTAACATCAGGCGTGACACCACGCTGAGAACGCAAAACAATCTGTGGTCAGTTTGGACTGACTGTGGTTTCTCCTACAAGTCTGCACTGTCAGTGGAGGTGGCTGAAAATGAATGACAACAGGCTGAAATGCTCAGTGATCATCTGCTTTTTAATAACGCACATCTAACCAAACCATCTCCACTGTAAACCTCCTGCTCACTGCGTCAGCGCTCAATATCACAGTCAATGAAACACAGGCAGTAGTTTCCAGGTCAGTAATGAGACAAGGCAAGGTTTGTTCAACCATCTCAGCCGAGTTGAGCCCTACTGCTATTTGAAGGACCTTAAACACATAACTCATACCACATAATAAAAGGTAAACAACACCTTTCAGCATGTGTGTTATGTGCCACCTTAAGGTCACGCTGAAAAGGCTAAACCCTTGTAGGTTAGCTGGTAAACCCAGCTACTAAAGCCACCAGCAGTAGTTACTGAATTCACACAGAAGCCGCCCTCCCTAAAACCATTACCATATTAAATCACAGAACCAACTCCCAGTGGAATTCACCCTTGATGGTGACGTGAGGAACAAACCAAAGACATCTTTGTGTAAATCTTGTCACTGTTTATGAAAAGAGCAGGATGAGGATGTGTGGGGCCGATCGTACCATTGCGCTGATCTAGATGAGTCTTCATGTTGCAAAGCTCTCCTTTAATGTCTCCAGGCACCTCCATTCCCAGCTTCTGATAGAACTCCCTCTGCTTCTTTATCTCCGCTGCACAGGACAGGAAGAAACAGAAGACAGAGAGGGCAGTGTCTTCCTGAAGATCACCGCTATCACTGGCCTTTAAAAACTGTGTGTGCAAACTAAAGCCATCACCAGGCTTTTTATAAGCCAGTCCATGACACCAAGACTATTCTCCTAAACGTATGCATTTTCCAGCTATACTTAGCCACTTTGTCCATGTAGGACATGAGTAGGACACAAAAAGCTACAGACTAGTTGGATCAGTTGTAGTTGCATCATTAAAAAAAAGGGCGGGGGGATAACACTTACCTTCTTGAAGACCTGGTACCAACTTGTAGACAATGTCTTGCATTGTTCTGTCATGGCTAAGAATAAAAAAGGTCATTAGTAACATTACTGGTTCATTAACACTGTGAGCCGACAGCAGCTGAAATTTTCACCTAAAGATGTAAAATACAGGAATGTTTAAACTGGTTGGTTAAACTGGTCAAGCCCCAGTAGACATATGCATCCTGTGATAAGGGGTTGCAAAAAGACTGAGCCAAAATGGTCAGGAGCCTTCGACCTACAGTAGAATACTGGTCATCCCACACTGAAAAAACCTCGTTTGATAAAATGATAAAAATCTCAAGATGATATTTATAGAGAAATGTCAAATGTGTTATGACAAAGTAAAAAAAATTCACATGACACCAGCTCTCCGAGGCTGCTGCTTAGTACATGCTCTGTCAATCAAGTGTGTTGAACAGTATTTCCCTTTCCCTGTTAGGCAGGCCAGGTGATGCAGGTACACCGTGTGGGTCTTGTCTGCTATCACCATGACGGCATGTTGTGATGACCTGCTGTGCCCGCCAACTAACAACCACAACATGTTGAGGATGGTGCAGTGTTTTGGAGGAAAAGCCCAGAAAAACACAGCATGTTTGTCTCCCTGCTGTGTGCTGGGAAAGTCGTTTTATTTGGGCCAGAACAAGCTGCACGATGCTGAGGTTGAAGTCAACAGCAGCAAAACACTGCACCCTGCTGGACAGAGCTGGTATTGCACCCTAACGGCCAAGTGGGGAGGCTGTGACATTACTGAGATCTGCTGTGTAGAGATACGGCACAGATATGCTTTGTTATGAGTAGGAGGCATCTGCGTTAGCCTCGGACTCTGCTAGAGACATGAACAGCAGTTTTCCAAAAGATTTTTCCTAGTTTAGGGTTTTGATAGAGGTAGCGGAGAGCGCTGTCTCTCACACGGCTCACAGATCTCGCATAGGTGCTAGTTGCAGTTGCCCCTTGTTGATTTACAGCATCTATTTAGTGGGAGGTGAAGCAAAATGTGTGTGTGTGTGGGGGGGGGGACTAAACCTATGCAACTCAAAAATAAAATTACGTTAAATTGATAAAGTTAAAGAAAACCACAGAAGAAATGCTGCAGTTAGTGTTGGCACATTTTGACAAGATTGTTTACTAATGCATTTAGTTACTCGGCAGCCTGAGGTTATCACAACACTGTGGGTTTAGATCCCAATCATAACCCTCCAGTTTTCACCCCAGCAACTCAGACTTCTTTATACATTATATTCACTATATACTTCCTTTAAAAACCCTTAGTTTATAATAAAACATCTTTTATATTCTTTAAGTTCAGCTAAATGTTTAGCTTGTTTACTTCAACATCTTGATGAGCAGATGGGTTTTATCTGTCTCCTGATGTGTGTCTCGTCTTCAAAGCTCTTGTGATGTTTCGCCTCAACTCATTTTTCCTAACAATGAGGCAAAAACAGCTGCATGAGAAAGCTAATGTGCTTGAAATAGAGCAATTCCTGCAAAACAATGAGTGTGCAGACAACCAAGTTTAGACAGTAATGACTAAATTGCTGGGACACATTAAGTTAGTGTGTTACATTAATCAGACATTAATGCATAAGCAATCAAAGGGGGCAGGAAAGAACTAAATGGTCCACGCAGCGGGACTTTGCCTGATGGAACCCTCTGAACGACGATACAATATTTGACTCGACCAGTTCATTTTAATCAGATCACGTGGCTCAGAGTTCAGACTCTTTGATATTTACAGGATGACGTCTGTATGTAAATGATAAATGGACTGTATTTATATAGCACATTTTTCCACAGTGTGTTGCACTGGCCAAAGCGCTTTACAGGAGATGATACACCATTCACCCATTCACACACCGATGACGACAGGCTGCCACACAGCGGCGCTAGTAAAGCCACTGGGAGAAATTCAGGGTTCAGTGTCTTGCTCAGGGACACTTAGGTATGTGGGGAGATGAACCACCAACTTGCTGGTCAGGAGACAACTGCCCTACCTCGTGAGCCACAGCCACCCCAATGATGTATCACATCAACAAGGAAACTACTTTTTCCTTTTTTACTTTAACTGGTCACGTATTTTGAAAGGAAGTCTTTTAAAAGAGTTTTGTTGTCATTTTTAAAGCATCGTTCTGTTGAGGTCCACTGAAGTATCATAACGCCAACAGTCATGTAGCTGTGGCGACTGTGCTCAGTTTAACTCATACGTTATCGTTACAATCTCATATATGCTCTGCATCTAATATAGCTTCTACTGTAAGCAGCATGATGCTCAAAGATTACACACAAAACGTATCAGTGAATCACATTAACTACTGTTTCAATAATATGAAAAACCGCACACGTTCTGCCACACAGGAGACGGCCCATCTAAAGCTTTTACAGCTATTTTGATTGCATTCTAACATATACTGTATATATTTACTATAAGCTCATCTAAGAAATGTAAATGGGGGAGTAACTTAGTCACTGAATGTCTATATTCCCTCTAAAACCACACACACACAGAGAGATGACCATCAGGGTCTTTCTCTGCACAAGAGTAAAAATAACATGGACAAAGGCCAGCTGCTCTTTGCTCCTCAGTCGTGTGTCGTTTGCTGGGTGCGCTCTGCTTACACACCCAGAGGCAGCGGGGGCTCCCTGCACACCGACAGAGTACTGTCAACATGTCATTGTGTGCGTGTGTGTGTTCACTCTATATTGGTAGGTGGGGGATTCAGAAAGCAAACTAGAGAAGAGGTGTGTACTGCAGACAGATAAGGAGAATGGAAGAGCATCTAACTGTGTGTGTGTGTGTGTACTTTCTGGGCAGTCCTCACACATTCAAAGAGCTGTCTGAAGGTTTAAGGATCACGGTTAGAACCAGGTTTAGGCTGGGGCCAGGCCTGTAGATGTGATGGTTAAGGTACAAGGCTAGGATGTGCATTATTTTAAGAAGTGTTCTCACAACTACTGAAAGTCAAGTGTGTGTGAATGCATGCGCGTAGGTCTGCGGCAGTTCCCACACTCACCCGATGTACTGCAGTGGATGGCTCTGATGAATAACAATCCTACACGTGGGGCACGTGTTGTTTTCCTCCAGATACTTCACTAGGCAGCTTCTACAGACTGCAGACACACACACACACATAAACACATGATTACCTTCTCATTTATAAATGAAGCCAGTGCCCAACAATTACATTGTGTATTATGACTTTTCACGTTTTAAATGGCACTGTTCACTTTTCAGTGCAGCTGTAATGAGTCTGGCTAAAACAATCTTGACTGTCTGATGGAAACTCTGACCACAGTCAGACTTGATGCCTTGAGGAACAAGGTCTCCCACACAACATACAACTGAAAATCTCATGTCAGAGTATGTCCACATTAGATTTGTGAATTCAGCCATGTATCCAGGTCAAAAGAGCCTTTCCAAAGCTCTCTGGTGTGAGCACATCTGAAGCTGCACAGTGAGGCTCAGTGGCTGTAAAGGTAACTAACTTCCACTGTGACTGTTCATTTTAAGGGCAGTAAAGCCGAACACACAGCAGATACAACAAAGCATGTGTTTTATCATCATCCGACTTTTGATAAGCATCAATAACTTTATCTTTCACCTATGCATGACACAGAATTATTATTATTTTTTCAAGGATCAGCATTGTAATTTACTGCACACGGACCCTCCACATTTCCACCTGACATTTCTTATTGCAGAACACCTGCAGAGGTGACATGACACTCTGTGTCTCAGCTCTCCGATGCTGGAGGCCCTTTTCAAAGTGAGAGGGTGAATCGGTCTCGTATGGAGTGGAGCGGGCAGGGCTGCTCCACAGTCTGTGGTAGAAGAGCTTCCTCTGGTGGACAGGAAAGGAATGACACCATTTGGGTTTCATCTTGCAGCATGGAATCGAACTGAATGAGTAAACTCTGTCTTATCATTTTGCTAGAATTGTAACATATCTGCAAACACCCAGTAAATAAAATGGTCCGATTATGAACATGCCATGTTGATGGTGCTTATAATGCCGGTTATTTGCTTCACGATCTGGTTTAGAACAAATTACAGCTTCTTCATGCTACAGGGATTAGCAGGCCCACATCAAAGTTTGCTTGGATTGCTCTCACCAACCCAAATGAAGAAAGTAAAAGCAAAAAAGTATGCAAGTTCTGTAGCAGTTCTATTAAATGCCTTCAAACAGAGTTTAGGGGTAATATCCACAGACCCTCTTCATTATTCTGCAGAACCAGAGAATTCGGTTTTCACAACCAAAAACTCAAAACATCAGCTGTGTGCTTGTTAAACCAGCAGCATTTTGCTTGGTGTCACTATACTGTCAGTTCTGCCCAGGAATAACCAGCCCAAGTCTCAAGTGAGGTACAGATGAGGTAATGAGGTCAGCTCAGTGACCCTCAGACAGTACAAACCAGCTCATAGAAGGCTGTAATACTACTAGGAAAACAGATGTCAACACATTATAACGGCTACAGCCATGTTTATAATCAGAAATACTGAGAGAGCAGGAAATATGAGGCCTCACTGGCTGAACAGGAAGTACTGCATCTGGTTAGATGGTTGGTTGAGGAATCTAAGAGGAAGTTCGGCCCCAAAACCTGTTTAGCAACAGCAATGAAGAGCTCCAGGCAGCCCTCAGATGAACCACAGCTGCGTTTTGTGATGCTTTTTTTTAGTTTCTACAACGTAAATCTACTTTATGTAACTTTTTCCAAATACTGTTGTAGAAATTTGCTCCAAAACTGAAACCTCCTGTGACCCAGACTCACTAAGCAGCACTGGCAGCAGCGTAGAGATATTAGCTTCTGAAAGGTTTTTAGTGGGACTGACCTCTCTGACCAATCAGAGATGTTCAATTATTTCTGCTTTGACATGCTGTAGCTTTAACAATTTAAAAACATTTTTGGCACAGATACCCTAGATACATGTGAATCCATCAGAAAATCCATCGTTCCACCACTTCAAAGCTCAAAGTTCCTTCAAAACAGCTTCTGAAACTTTTTTCTTGATGTTGTACCACATATATTTTGTGGATTGTGCTATTTTTTGCACATTGTCTTGTCTGATTCATTTCCTCTTTTCTTCCTTCTATAAAGCATCTGTTTGAAAAATACCACATAAAAACATTTACTCGCTTATTCATACTTATGACTGCACACCAACACAGAGCGCCTTGAGGCCAGCCGTTGGACAGGCTTCAAAACATCTTTGTGTTCAGAGTTTAAATAAGGTTAATTCAGTTTAATAATAAAAACAGACCCGTATGGTCTTTAGAATTCATTTTGGACTGCTAAAGCTGAAGCACAGTGGCTGTTTTGACTTCCTGTTGTGAAGTCTTACAGTCCAGTGGTTTAACTGTTATTTCTGTTTATGAAGAATGTCAGATTAGTTTGCTTTTCGCAGCTGTTAATAAACACTATCAGCTCAGACAGAGGCTTGAGGCTCCTTCACACACACAGAACAGAAGGTATTGCTGTTTCTACATCAACTATTTCCATGTGCAGCAAAACACACAACAACTCAGAACTCCGTTTGTGGGTCATGTCTGGTTGTTTTGGCAGCAACGTGGCACAGCTACAGGAACAATCTGTTAAAGACGGTGTTTGTTTACCGCACTGTCTGACATGTTGTGTCACTATTAGCACAGAGTGAATACATGTTACACAAAGTTTTAGTTTATCTCTAAATTAGTCATGTCAATTCTGTTTAAAACTGGTGACACTTTTCCAGAATCTTGGTTACTGTCTCTCTACAGTTGTTAATAAATGTAGTGCTTTCTCAGCGAGGGTCAGTATAACACTGGTTTTAACCTATTTCCAGACTGAAGCTCTAGAGTGGATCTATTCCAGCCGTCCGTGAGTCTACGCCACATCCTGCTTGTGCATGAAGTTAGCTTGTTTAACGTAGCCACATTTAATGCAGCACAGCTAAACATGAACGTGTTTTAAAAAAGACCATCGTCCTCAAATGTAACATATTCAAAGTTAAAGACCAGTTTAAAGTCTGTACTGGTAACATGAACGCAACAATCAGGGCTTTACGGGCCACAATCCGAGTGCTTTACTGCTGAGTTTCTGCCAAATCCGAGGCCAATCTGACACTTTTGTTTACTTTAAATGTTGGTTAAAATGGATCTGACACAGTGAGAAAACAACTGTAGCACACTTAAGGGGACACACCACATTCCTCACACGCTACTTGAGCCAAAAACTATTAAGTTTATAAGTTTAATTCTTTGATAGGATATGACTGGAGAATGTGGCTCACTCACTCCGTCCTCTGTGATTATTCAGAGCAGAACTTCTCACCTCACATGTGATCTTTGGCTGAGTACATATGCCAGCTGCAGGGACGCATTAGCTCAACAACATACAAGCTTCATTTTAGGCTCTCACCACGTTCCTCACAAAATTAACATTAATTAGTGAGGGTGACCTGCTGTCACGGGGAGAGCGGTGCCGCAGCTCGACCATGCTGAGGTGACAAAACACAGTGAAGTTCACTTAAAAAAACAAAAGTTCAGGTTTTGCATATTTTGATCAGCCTCAGATGATGATGATGCACTAAGCCTCCTTTTTCTACTTCATTATCACATGATGTTATTATTGAAAACATTTTTCATAAGTTTAACAAACTGAAGGAAACATCCTCAAAAAGCCTTTGGAGCTTAAAAAGGTCAGTCCCATGTATTACATTTTAGAAGCTGCTAAAGTCTGAGTGAAATGTTTTTGACATTGAAAAAAATATATAGAACCGTCAGCTAAACGCCGTCACCTTTGTCGAGACTGCGCTCATATATAAACATAGTAGAGCATAACTGAACATGAACTACAAACAATGGGGTGTTGATAAAACCGTTGTGTAAAGATAATGTCTCCCCTGTTGAGGATGTTGGAGCAACAGGTAACAGTCTATGAGATTCATCAGGATAAAAGATACAAACCTGTGACAAAAACTGAAGATGTGACCTCAAGAGAGCGCTCAGAAATTAATATGTGCCACGTAAATTGCTTCTAAAGAAAAGAAGGCCACTAATGCTTCATGCACCTGTGTTAGGCTGCAGGAGTTTCATTCTGTGTGAGAGCCAAGGCTCTGACCAGGCAGTGCAGTGGCTCCCACTGCAGACAGAGACAGACAGCATCATCCTAGATGCTGGTACTAATGATGTACCTGCAGTGAATGAGAGAGGACACCTCCTCACCTCCGACTGAGCAGCTAGAAATGTACAGATTACCTGGCAGTGACAAGAATCAAATTTTCTGTGAGTCAGTGTGTGCTTTTCACTCAGTGACTGGTAGTGAAACACATAATACAGACTGAAGGCAAAGCTGCATAAATCACAGAAGGATCACTCTGCCTCCAGGACTGTTCCCATTGGGGATAAATCCTACAAGACCTTGTGAGCCAATAAAAACCCAGAGAGACCAATGCAGCCAGTGTGTCTCAAGTAAACACGAGGAACTGATGACACAGGAACAAGAAGAGAGCAGACAATAAGAAGGAAAACAGGACCACGGCTAAGAGATGAAAAACAGAACTGAAAAATATCTGACGGCACAGACACACAGAGTTGGTGCGTGTGTGAGGTGGGACCTACAGGTGTGTAAGCACTCGGTGACGGTGGTGGCGTCAATCAGGTAGCCCTCACACAGGCGACATGTGATGTGGGCGTTGATGTGACACAGCTTTATCTTCCTCGTCAGCATGTCGGGGTTCTGGGGGAGAAAGATGAGACAACATTTAGGATTAGAGCTTAAAACAGGTAAAAAAAATTTAAAATAAAAAAATCCAGAACTTCCTTTGTTTTCACTAATAGAAGCTACAATGAACAAAAACAGCCAAGACTCTCTGCTAAGCAGCTAGCAACACTGCAAAAGTTTTCCTTTGTGCTGTTCCAAACTATTTTCCATACTGCATTTACTGATATCTTTTTAAAAACTCCAATATTAAAATACCATTTACACATTGGAACAGTCTTCAATCTGATTATAGTTTGACACTGAAGAATATTTAAAGCTACAGTTTGTAAGTTAAGGTGACACTAGCATGAAACTCCGAATCAGTCCACTACGCTCCACCTGAAACTCTGAAAATCTGATTGGTCAAAGAGGTCAGTCCCACTCAAAACCTTTCAGAAGCTAATATCTCTGCACTGCTGCTCAACAAGTCTGGGTTGCAGGAGGCTTTGACATCACCTCTCCACATTAAGACCAGTTTTGGAGCAGATTTCTACTATAACAATATTTGAAAAAAAAAAAAAACATTATATCTAAAACCTGAAAAATGTCAGGTATTTTTTAATACAGTGAGATCTATAAACATTCTCCAACATTACAAAGAATTAAATGGATTCATATTTAACTAGGGAGGGTCGTCTCGTGGTTCGATCCCCGGCTTCTCCAGTCCATGTGTTGAAGTGTCCACTGAAGCCCAAGTTGCTCCCGGTGGCTGTCCCACCGGTGTGAGAGCTTTGGTACAGTGCTAATATGGAGGCTCGATACCATCGGGTGTGAGTGTGAATGGGCAAATATAGCGTAAAGTGCTTTGAGTTTGCCGAACACGTTGAAAAAGCGCTGGATAACTGTGTGTCAAGTTAAAATATTCTGTGCCCATTCCTAATTAATGTGCAACTTGTAACATGTCTTTTCTGACATTACGTTAGAGGGAAACCCTGGAAGGCCACAGGTTCAGTGTGTTGGACTGGAAGCTAGAAATGCTAAGTGGTTGTACGTCTAATCTGTGCAAAGGCCAACCAACCAGTCTGTGGACAACACAGTGCAGCATTTCCTCCTCGCTCGCTGTTTGCCGCGCTACAGTTGCAGCCACAAGACTAAACTAAAGCTGCATAACACCACAGATGTACCAATAAAAGGCATCGAGACTATTTCTGAAAACACAGAGAAACCATGATGAGCAGATTACAACATGTGGACAGAAGGGATGTAAACAACATTCATTTTAAACTGTAGGTGACACTGTAGGCAAAGACTGTCTGTACCAACCCCTTTATTTTCCTTCTATACCGTGTGCATGTGTTTGCTTGGTGCATTACATTTAATATTTGACTTAGTGACTTTGACAAGCCTTTTACATTTCTGTGACTGTTACATTGGCAAATAAACAGAACTGAGAATGTTTCTTTTAAAAAACTAACAAAGCTCGGTTATATGGAGGGTAATCAAACACACACCAACACAATGAGAATAATAAGTATGCAAACTAAGAAGCCATATGTGGCAGTACACATGTAAAATCAACCATTAAACAAAAGCCCCAGTATGTGCACTGCTGTCGGCAGCAGTAATAAACCCTACAACAAGGAACGCTGTTGGATATTACAACAGCGTTTCAGTCAGCTAACATCCAGGGAACTCCTTTGCCATCATCCCACTGGCTTAGTGCATCTGCTGTGTTTTCATCTTCTGCTTTGTGCCTCTTTGAACAAAACATTTAAAAGTAGCTTGTTTGATGTTATTATTTTAACAAGGATGTACTTTTTATTCTGAGAGGAAAAATCACTAATAGGGCAGGTTTATTGCTATTTTCACACCACAAGTGGAGACAGTGCTCCAGGGTGAGCCGGGTGTCACTTTAACGTGTAGCTGCACAATCACAACCAGACAAAGCGGGGCAAACTAGTCAGCTGCTAATTCATGCTTTAAAAGAGGTATGTGCAGCGATTTGCTTTCCAGGAGATACAATGTTGAGTAAGTGAATGACTAACTGTGGTTTCACTCTTTGAGGAACATCATCAGCAAGTCACCGGGAGCCCACTCACACACAGCTCATGTTTAAACTCTCAACAAGCTTGTCAGCACCGACATTTTGACTGTCAACTGCAGACATCGTTGTTAAAATGCTAATAGACAGACTTTTTTATTTGGTGGATCCTACAAAGAGTTTCCATTCATCTCTAGTAGGGATTACGTTTAAAACTCCACAGTGAACATCTGAGCTGTATTTTTAAAAGGTTTGAAATGGAGGCAGCATCAGCTCTGAC